TGAGCCGTCTCCCCATCCAGGGACTCGGGTGGAAACGTAGGCTTTCTTCATCAGTTCAGCTAAAGGCCTCCATGTGAGAGGAGGGGGGAGGCTGTGTTGCTGTCCTGGCTGCAGGGGTTGCGGGGGCTGGGGTCCTACAGCTTTGAGGGTGAAGGGCTTTCTGAGGAAGGAGCATCAAAGTCGGGCTTGGGCTCTTGGCCTCCAGGGTTCCCTTCAGTCCCAGCAGCCCAGGTGTGTGAGGCTTTGTACCCAAGTCTGCGACCAAACTCTGGGCAACGCGGGAGGAGAGCGCAGACAGACCCAGCCCATTCTCCGCAAATCCGAGTCTGCTCCCGTCTTAAGAGATGCAGCCTGGCCCTCTCTCGAGTTCAGAGCTTCTCCCAAGCCTCTGTGACCCACAGAGCCAGGGCCCTGCTTGCGGATGATTCTAGCAGGACACTAAAGCCCACCAACCCACAGGCTGCCCAATCAGCCGGTCCCACAGCTATGCCTACCCTCAGCCTCTCTTCTGCCCCAGGCCCAGTTATGTCGCCAGCGAGGAGAACCGAATCCTTGTTCTCACTGAGCTGCTGGAGAGGAAAGCCCACTCTCCCTTTTACCAGGAAGGCGTGAGCAACGCCCTGCTCAAGATGGCTGAGCTGGGGCTGACCCAGGCGGCCGACGTTCTCTTGCGGCATGGGGCCAATCTCAACTTTGAAGGTCAGCGAGAGCCCCGGGGGTGGGCAGGCGACTTAAACGTGGCTCTGCGCCGGGTGGGCGTCCATGTCCCCAGCCTTGGCTTTTACCATCCTCTGAGGAGTGACTTCCCCCCGCCTTTATTTTCTGGGTGGCTGTGACTAAGGAATGTGGCCTCCCAAATCCTGCGGGTTTTCACATGGCTCTCCCCACCTCTGTTCCAAGGGCGGGCGAGTGTTGCTGCTTCTACCATGTGATTGATTAGCAAACTTTCCCCAGCTCCCAGAGTCATCCCCACTTCCGTTAATGCGAAAATGCAGCTACTGGCATTGTGCCCAGAGCTAAGGGAAGGTAATTTTCTGCCACTTACTCTGAGCCAATTTGTGTTTTTTTCCTCATGCCATAGGGAGAGGGGAAAACAGGCCGCATTAGGCATAAATCACCACAGAACACGCTGGCTTCCAGCTCCTGAGTGCGAGGGATGGAGATGGAGCCACGCTCCTTTCTCTCTGTTTTTCACCCCGGGGAGGGCAGGGTTAGTAGGGAGACAGGCAGGGCTGCCTTGTGACCTAATGGGGGCCTGAGACAGCCAGGCACGTCTCCTTTCCCCATCCAAAGACAGGCTTGGAGGCTGCTGGGCTCCTGGAGCCCAAGGAGCTGAGACGGGAGGGCCAGTTCTGAAGCCAGTGACTTGGAGACCAGCTTGGAGAACCTGGCTGTTACCACCAGGCCTACAGAGCGGAGCAGCCATGGAGGTGCTGCGTAGTGCGGCCTCCCAGCCATTCTGAGAGTGCGCGCCCCATTTTATGGTCCCTTCTTACAGAAGAGGAAATTAAAGCCCCAACAGCTTCAGTAGTGTGCCCACTAGAACACCCCGAGGGCCCTCTAGTATCTGGTGAGGACAGCTCTGTCCTAACCCTTGATGGTGACAGGAGGCTGGGCCTCTGCTTCTGGACACTTTAGGTGGGAGTTTGGGGCTGGGCTCTGGGTCCAGGGGCCCCATGAGAATGCGGATAGGCAGGACCCACACGAGCTGCGTCTGTGCCTTCAGACCCAGTCACCTACTACACGGCCTTGCACATCGCTGTCCTGCGGAACCAGCCGGACATGGTGGAGCTGCTGGTGCATCACGGCGCCGACATTAATCGGAGGGACCGGGTAAGTGCCAGGTCCAGCTTGTTTTGAAGCAGGGTTGGGCAGGGGCCTGAGCAGCTTCCCAAGCCAACCTGGCTGTGCGTGCTTGGCTCAGATCCACGAGAGTAGCCCCTTGGACCTGGCCAGCGAGGAGCCTGAGCGCCTGCCCTGCCTGCAGCGCCTCCTGGATCTTGGAGCTGACGTCAATGCCGCTGACAAGCATGGTGGGTGCCTCCTGCAGGAAAACAGGACAGCTGGGCCCCCGGGCAGCATTGGGGGGACACCCAGGGTGCCCCAGGACAACAGCTAGGTGGGCTGACTGGATGCTGGCCCTGGCTGGTGGCACAGCATGGCTGGGCACACAGGGATTCTGCTGACTTGCTGAGCTCAGAGGCTTTAGACAGTGCAGTCATTGTCCCCGTGCTGGCCCTCAAGGGCCTTCCATAGGAAGAAATAGGGCACGTATGCACTCAGCTTCCAAGAAACAATGGCTTCCCATTGGGAGAGGCCTAGCCAACATTTCAGGTAGCATCCTGGGATCCAGAGAAATCCCACTTTTCTGCTGGGGGCCTTTCTGCTCCCAGTTCTCTGGATGGAAAGGGAATGACCAGAAGCCCATCACCCTCATCTCTCACCCGAGCTGAGAGCTGTCTCTGAAAGTTCATCTTCTGATCCTGAGTGTCTGGATTTCTGCCACCTCCTCTGGGTTGCCCTGACCTGGGCTTCCTGGCCTCCTGCTCCTCCTCGCTCTCCCTCCCTCCCTAGGAAAGACTGCTCTGCTCCATGCTCTGGCCAGCAGCGATGGGGTACAGATCCACAATACTGAGAACATCCGGCTCCTGCTGGAAGGAGGTGAGGCTGGCGCGCTCCTAGGCCTTGTCCTCTCACCCGCCCCTTCAATGTGTGCCGTTGCTTTGCCGGGGTTGAAGACCTTCTCCCAGTGTCTCTTGTTCTATGGCTCTTCTAGGGGCAGACGTCAAGGCCACCACCAAGGATGGGGACACAGTGTTCACCTGCATCATCTTCCTACTTGGTGAGACCGTGGGAGGGGACAAAGAGGAGGCCCAGATGATCAACCGCTTCTGCTTCCAAGTCACACGGCTGCTGCTGGCGCATGGGGCCGACCCCAGCGAGTGCCCGGCCCACGAGTCCCTCACCCACATCTGCCTCAAGAGCTTTAAACTGCATTTCCCTCTCCTGCGCTTCCTGCTGGAGTCCGGAGCTGCCTACAACTGCTCCCTGCATGGCGCGTCCTGCTGGTCTGGCTTTCACATCATCTTTGAGAGGCTCTGTTCCCACCCAGGCTGCACAGAAGACGAGAGCCATGCGGACCTCCTGCGCAAAGCCGAGACCGTCCTGGATCTCATGGTGACCAACTCTCAGAAACTCCAGCTGCCTGAAAACTTCGATATCCACCCTGTGGGCAGCCTGGCAGAAAAGATCCAGGCCCTCCACTTCTCCTTGAGGCAGCTGGAGAGCTATCCCCCGCCCCTCAAACACCTGTGCCGTGTGTCCATCCGGCTCTACCTTCAGCCGTGGCCTGTGGATGTGAAGGTCAAAGCCCTGCCTCTGCCTGACAGGCTGAAGTGGTACCTCCTTAGTGAGCACAGTGGCTCCATGGAAGATGACATCTGACGGGTCTCAGGCTACAGGAACAGGGGACATGGGCAGCTTAGGTCAGCCTGTTGGTAGAACCTGGGACAGCCTTAGAGGAGGGGCTTTTTGATCTGGGAGATGAGACGGGATCCTTCATGAGAAAAGCCAGCCAGGTAGAGCCTGAAGCTGTGATCACTCCAGTGGTGAAGGGTGTGGCTCTGTGTCTTCCAGAGAGACTGCTCCCTTCCCTCCAGCAGCACTCCAAGTCCCACCCATGTTGGACAAAGGAACAGGGCTTGGACTGAAGTCATGTTTATACCCTCTGAATTGGAGGGCAGTGCCAGGGCATTTACAGAAGCTGGGAAGGACCAAGCCTCAACATCCCCAGGGCTGCAGGGGTCTTGTTTGCTGCACGTGGCAGTATAGCTGGAGAGGAAGCCTGGGGCGCGTCCTGTGCGGTGCCAAGGCCCCACCCCTGCCCCTTTTCCTTCCAGGTTCTGTTGCAGCAGTGTTTCTGGTGGGCTCAGGGGGAGGAGACACTAAGGGCCCCACAGGCTTGTCTTCATGGTGTTGCAAGCCAAGCTGGCCCCTGCCTGTTCCTGTAGCTTTGGGGCCAGGTCAGCCATGGCCCCACCTACCAGAACTGTGCTCTGCTGGCAGCTGTGCTTGTGCCAAACCCAGGGCCTCAGCGACCATGACTTCTGCTAAAAAGCAATCATGAGTGCGCGGCTGGGGACAGACCTCTCTGTTGTCTCCTGTTGAGGGGCTCTCTTTGGAGCAACCTAAGAGCCGACTGTACCACCCAACTGTGAGCCCTCAGTCCCTTCCAGGTTGCATCGGTCATTGTGAATTGTGGAAACGCCTCTGGGGATAAGCTGAGGTGACTAAATGATATATTTATAAGATTAAACTGACTTTCTTGGCCTTAACGGTCCTTGTATAAAATTTCTGCCCCGGCCCTCCACAGTTCAGGATAGAGGCTCCCACAGCAGCTGGTAAGGAAGGGGGTGGCAGGTGTGAGGAGATGCTGTGTTTGGGGGATTGCTTCCAAGTCCCTGCAAAGAAGCACCACTCTAGACTAGCGAGGTCCTCCACAGTGTTGAGGTCCCATTTTATTATTTTTTTTTTCGAGACAGTCTGTCACCCAGGTTGGAGTGCAATGGTGCAATCTCGGCTCACTGGGACTTCTGCCTCCCAGGTTCAAGCAGTTCTCCTGCCTCAGCCTCCTGAGTAGCTGGCATTACAGGTGCCCGCCACCATGCCTGACTGATTTTTGTATTTTAGTAGAGACGGGGTTTCGCCATGTTGGCCAGGCTGGTCTCAAATTCCTGACTTCAGGTGATTCACCTGCCTCGGCCTTCCAAAGTGCTGGGATTACAAAGGCATGAGCCACTGTGCCCCGGCCCCATTTTATTTTATTTTTATTTTTGGGATGGAGTCTCACTCTGTCACCTAGGCTGCAGTGCAGTGGCGCAGTGTCGGCTCACTGCAAGCTCCGCCTCCTGGGTTCACACCATTCTCCTGCCTCAGCCTCCCAAGTAGCTAGCTGGGGCTACAGGCGGCCCACCACCACGCCCGGCTTTTTTTTTTCTTTTTATTTTTAGTAGAGACGGGGTTTCACCGTGTTAGCCAGGATGGTCTCAATCTCCTGACCTCGTGATCTGCCCGCCTCAGCCTCCCACAGCGCTGGGATTACAGGCGTGAGCCACCGCGCCCGCCCCATTTTATTTTTTAATTTAATGCCTGCCAAGGAGCAGCCTCAAGCCCAGAGAAGAACAAGGCTTCAGGGAGCTTCCCTGCTGCAGGCTGTTGTCACGCTTTAAGGGTCCCGGGCTTCCACTGCCAAGCAGGACTTGGCACGTGAGCACCCCCAACCACAGCACCATCAGGCAGCACCCATGGGTTCCACCAGCCCAGCTCTGTCCCTCCCCTAGGTCAAGACCACACTGAAGTCTTCAAGTTCCCAACAACCAGGTTGGGGGTGGTTTCCTTCCTCTTCAGGCAGCCAGGCCCATGGCTGGAAGGCTAGGCTGGAGGCCCAGGGAATCGGCTACTGATGTGACCACCGTATTCCCACATGGGGAGCCCTGGAGCCCCTTCCACCCAATCCCATCTCACAGGGCAGCAGGGCCTGGGCTCCTGCCTCACCGCTGGTTCAGCAGCACCCTCCCCCCACCGGGTCCCACCTTGCCTTTTGAAGAAGAATCCACATAATGAGTGGACGGCAGACAGCTATATTTAGTGGTGCCTCGACACTCACGAACCGCCAGCGTGGCGCCTGGATCTTGCCCAGCTGCCAGCTCCCCCCACCCGGACTGTGGTTCCTCAGTTTCTCCTGCCAGCCCTGGCTCATCTCAGGGCAAAGCTATAGACGTGGTAGATCTCATCGGGGAGGTTCTCCTGCCTCTCCTCAGCCAGGAGGCTGAGGCCTGCGCTGCAGATGATCCTGCGGACCACATCAAGGTCCCGGCACACACTGCTGTCCACGTCATCCAGAATCACGCCCTCCTGGGCCATGTTGTCTTTGATGACGATGATACCGTTGGGGCGCAGGCTGCCCTTGCAGCGCCGCAGGAACTCGGCCAGGTGCTGATCGGTGAGGTGGCCTGGGGAGGGCAGAAGCAAGGTTACCAGTGCACAATGCAAGGGGATGCTGGCCACCAGATGGGATGTATTTCTCAGCCCTGCTGAGCCCTTCATTTGTGCCCAGCATTTTGTGTGCCATTTAGTAAATCCCGACAGATTTACTAAACCCCATTTCATAGAAGAGGAAACTGTGGCTCAGAGATCTTCTACCTAAAGACACATTAAGCCAGAATTTAACTTGTCGGGGTGACTTCCAAGTCCTGCCTGATACCTACACACCATGATGCCCCACCCCTGCCAGGCTTGGATCAGAGGAGTGAACCTGGGCTAAGAGTTTGGCATTGCAGGAGCCTCTGGACAGACTGCCTTCCCTACACTAGAAGTCCCCACAGAGGCTTCTGAGACCACAAAATACAAGGCCAGACCTAGCGTGTCCACAGCAGGCCTGTGCTGCCCACCTCAGGAGGTGGCCAACTGCTGCTAGTGGCCTGCCACCAGGTCAGCAGCCCAGGGCACAGCACTTGAGGTGTACTGTTAGGCTAAGAGGGTGCAGGGCTAGACACAAAGCTTAAACTTTTCATCTTATTAAAAATAAAACCCTTATAAAACTCTCACTTTGAATGCAGTAAGTTATTGGCCATTAAAATTTAACAAAAAACTGCACCCAAATGGATGGTAGCAGGTATTCAACTGAAACAAAACCTGGAAGAAATCTACCTTTTAGGCTGAGCCCGTCCCTCAGTTCTGGGAAGCGTGGGGTGGGGGTGGGGGTGGGGGTGGGCGTGGGGGGATTGGAGAATCCTCACTGGCTTACTTGCTGCAGGAGCGCAAAGCCCTGGTCCTGACACCTTATGGGGCACCCGAGTGGCAGGAGACGTACAGGTGGGCAGACCCTCACCTATCACCCACTGGATCCAGATGACGTCGTAAGAGTCCGGCTCTGGGGTGAAGTCCTGGAGCCCACAACAGAAGTAGTTCCTCACCCTCTTGCCCTCCTCCCCCAGGTAGGTCTTGGCTTGAACCAGGAAGTCCTCCGTTATGTCGACCATATCCACCTCTCTGAACAGCGGCAGGAGCAGCCGCTTGGTGATCCTCCCAATGCCAGCTCCACAGTCCAGGGCACAGGACGTTCCTGTCTTGTTCGGGCCTTCCTGAAAAGCAGAGGCATGTAACCTATCAGAGAGACCCTGTCGCCGCACGTGGGGGCCCTTCCTCATGAGCCCTGGGACTTAGACTCAAGTCAGGATTCCAGGGCTCTGCACAAGCTGAGCACTGGCGGGGAGGTCTGTGCTGGCTGCCAGCTTGTACAGAGTCCTGATTGAAGGGGATAAGCGTGGAAGGACACCCTGCTGGGCCACATATTCCTTTATCTTTGAAAGTTTTTGTAGAGACAGGATCTCATTCTGTTGTCCAGGCTGGAATGCAGTAGTGGCATCACGGCTCACTGTAGCCTCGGACCCCTGGGCTCAAGCCATCCTCCATCTTCCCGCCTCAGCCTCCCAAGTAGCTGGGACTACAGGCATGTGCCACCATGCCCAACTCTTTATTTTTATTTATTTTTTGTAGAGACAGGGCCTCAGTCTGTTGCCCAGGCTGGTCTCAAATTCCTGGGCTCAAGCAGTCCTCCCACCTTGAAATCCCAAAGAGCTGGATAACAGGAGTGAGCCGCTGCCCCAGCCCTGGGCCACACATTTCTAAAATGAAAGCTAATTTCCACTTAAAGGTGATAACTTGAACAGGTACACTAATCTCTCCTGAGTCTCCAAGTAAACAACGGCAGAGAGGAGCAGGGAGAATGGAAGTAGGACAATGGGTGAACAAGGGTGCGGAGAGGGAACGCGGAGGGAGGGGAGGCGCTGGATGGAGCAGGTGGCCAACAGCAGCCTCCAGTGCCAGCCATGAGAGACAAGAAGGTGGGGGACTCCAGGCCCGGGGTTCCCAGCCTAGTACAGAAAAGGCTGGGGGTGGAGCAGAGGGTAGAAACCATGGCATGTAACTAGGAGTTTTCATCCAGAATGGCCAACACCCTCAGCCCAAACACCCATGGGCATGGCAGGAGAGCAAGGGTTTTGTCCCTGGCAAAACCCAACAGTTGAAGAAAAGTTTGCCCAATTCGGGCACCTCAGTTCTGCCTAACAGCCAGCTCCTGTCTGGTAACCTTGAGGCTAAGTCCACAATCTAGAAGTTACCCCACTGTGCCCACCCAGCCCAGCTCCTCAAGGCTTTGGGGTAGGTACCAAGAGGCAGCCAACGACCCTGCAGTGTTACATGTAAAAGGTGGCACCCCACATGGACTCGGCAGTGCCACCAGAGCCACAGCCTCTCCTGGAGAGCACGCCAGACCTGCCTACCCTCAAAAACCTCTGCAGAAACTTCCGGGAGCTGTTGATGTCGATGCTGGAGATGTGGCCATACCCCCCAAGCATGCCGTCCACCGTGGGTGGGATTTGTTTCCAGTAGGTCTTGGCCTTGGAATAGAATTGCTTCTCGTCTTCTATCACCTCGCTCGTCATGCTGTCACCAACCACGGCTCTGCTCAAGCACCACGATCAGCACCCGCAACTCTCCTGGGTAAGGAAGGGGGTGTGAGTCAGCGGGCCAGGGACCTGGCAGAAAGGCTCCCGGGGCAGAGGGCCAGTCTCACGCCAGGCTTCACAAGTCACACATGCTGCTGAGTGCAGAGGGAAGTCCAGGGTCCCCAAATCTGCTTCTACCCCTTGGATAACAGCATCTTCTGTCTTCTGCACTCAGAGCACCCGCCCCAAGTCCTAGCTTCACGTTCTTTTACATTTTCATTTTTTTTGGAGTGCAGTGGTATGATCATAGCTCAATGCAGCCTCCAACTCCAGAGCTCAAGAGACCCTCCCAACTCACCCTCCGGAGCAGCTAGGACTACAGTTGTGTGCCACCATGCCTGGCTAATTATTTTTTGTAGAGATGGGGTCTCACTACATTACAAAGGTTGGTCTTGAACTTCTGACCTCAAGAGATTCTCCCACCTTGGCCTCCCAAAGTGCTGGGATTACGGGTGTGAGCCACTGTGCCTGGACTGGCTTCAAGTTCTTGACATGCTTTATATGACACCTGACGCAGTGGCTTCTGGGCACAGAAAACCCTGATCAATAAAGAGAAAAGACCGCAAAGCAGAGAACACCAGCAGACCCTGGAGGGCCAGGGAAGTTTCCACGCCTCCCTTCCTCTGGCTCAGAGCACAGCAACAACTCACGGTGGGGTCCAGTCCTCCGTTAATGAGGAGTGGGGACTCTGTGCTGTGAACCAGGCTGTGAACCAGGCAGACAGCCAGGCAGAAAACAATTCTACAGACACAACCACACCTGCAGGGAGGGCTGCAGAGGAGAAGCACCAGTGCCAGCAGAACACGAAGAGAGGAAGTGGACTCGGATGCGGGGACCAGGGAAGGCATCCCTGAGGAGGGGACGCATAAGCTGAAACCGATGGATGGGCAAGAATAAATGCAGCCAGTGGAGGGCGACAGCTCTGCTCCCGGAGGGAAGGACAGACAGCCCTCGTGGCTGCCAGTTCCTGGTCTCACAATCAACTCTAGCAATTTTGACTGCATCCTACAGAGCAACGAGTGTGAACCACCCTGAGGCCCAGCAGACAGTGGCCCGGGGAGACCGGTGCTTCCGAAGACTGCTGGCAGCAGTGGAGACGGCAGGGGGATGAGGAGACCGCTGCCACAGCAAAAGGAGAGGGAACTAGAGAGCCTCAGCTGGGTCCTGGCAGCAGAGCCCAGGCCCAACTTGCCCTTCAGGAGAGGGATGACAGTTCAGCGGCTCCACGCTCCAAAGGTGGCCAGCCTGCCATAAGCTTCCCATAGGCACAGTGCTGTCACCAAGGCACACCACGCTTAGGGGCTGTTCTAGTTGCTGTGAGGCTTGCCAAGACCTCAGAGAGCTCTAGCCCAGGAGGACAGGCAAAGAACAAAGGGAACGAAAATACGCAGCAGAAAAATAAGATTCTCATGGAACCATAAAGTGCTAAGGAAACTCAAAGGGCAGAAGAATCCTTTCTGAACAGCAGACAGGGGCAGTGGCCTGGAGGAGGCAGCCCGAGCTGGGCATCTGAAGACAGAGAGTGCTGGAGGGGTGGGGCACAGACAGAGGGAGCAGCTGTGGGACAGCACGGGCCATCAGAGGGCGGAGAGTGGAGGCGGGGAACACAGTGTGGAAGGTGAGCTGGGAAAGGCAGACGGGGCCTGGATGAGGGCGGCCCCGAGTGCATGCTGGCACCAGCTCTCAGCTGATGTGCTTCCCACGCTGCCAGGGCCTACCCTGAAGGGAGGCAGAGTGAGAATGGCAGTGGCCGTGCTGGCTGTCACAGGACAAACAGCAACAGTGGGAGGCAGGAATCCCAGCAGCAGCTGCTGCTACATCCTGATAAACCCATGATAAAGGGAAAATCTCCTCGGTGGAAAACGTGCAGCTGACTGGGAGCTGCAGCTCACCACCTCGCACGTGCCGCCTCCACACAAGGAGAGCAGGGGGCTCCTAGCAAATGCCTGTTGCCAAAGTTGACAAATCGTAAATCCAAGACCGTCTGCCTGACCCCTGGAGCTACAGGGTCAACACGGAAGAGTCCACATGTGAAACTCGGGCACAGTCCTCAAACACAACTCAAAGCTTAAAACCCTAAGACCCAGGAATGCTCTAGGGGCTTCAAGAGAAGTGGTCAGAGGGAAACAGGAAAACGCCCCGAGAAGGAGCATGAGGCCTTCGGGAAGCAACTATGAGGAAAGAGAAGGGAAACTAAACACAAGACAAGCTGGAGAATTTTCTTTTCTTCTTTGTTTTTTGAGAAAGGGTCTCAGTGTCGCCAGACTAGAGTATGGCTCAGGTGACCCTCCCATCTCGGCCTCCAGGGTAGCTGGGACTACAGGCACACACCGCCACACCTGCCTAACTTTTGTATTTTCTGTAGAGACGGAGTTTTGCCATGTTGCCCAGGCTGGTCTCAAACACCTGGCTGCAAGTGATCCACCTGCCTCGGCCTCCCAAGGTGTTGGGGTTACAGGCGGAAGTCACTGCACCCAGCCAAGATTTTTCATTGGTCAAATTTGTTATTGGCCCCCAGTACATCTTCTGCACTACTATATTCTGAACCTGTCCTGAAAGAGAAGGAACTTTCCAGAAGCAGCAGGCCCACCCCAGCCAGTCAGCTCAAGAATACTTCTAACGAGGCCGGGCGCTGTGGCTCACGCCTGTAATCCCAGCACTTTGGGAGGCCGAGGCGGGCGGATCATGAGGTCAGGAGATAGAGATCATCCTGGCTAACACAGTGAAACTCTGTTTCTACTAAAAAAAAAAAAAAAAAAAACCACAAAAAATTAGCTAGGAGTGGTGGCGCGCACCTGTAGTCCCAGCTACTCAGGAGGCTGAGGCAGGAGAATGGCCTGAACACAGGAGGAGGAGCTTGCCATGAGCCAAGATCGCGCCATTGCATTCCAGCCTGGGCGACAGAGCAAGACTCCGTATCAAAAAAAAAAAAAAAAAAAGAAGACTTCTAACGGATGCAATTCTCCTTCTGTAACTGGTCAGCCTTTTCCGGAGACCCAGCCAGCCAGTGGGGGCAACAGGGAAAGGCCTGTTGTGGCTGCTGAGAACAGAGGGGATGGGGTCCCTCCTCTCCAACCCTGTGCCTGACTCCTTCTGCAGATTTGAGCTTTCTTCACTGACAAAGTCACACGCCAGCTTTCTGAGGGTCCAGAGAGAGCTGACAAGACCCATGTGCTCTACCGGGGCCCGGTTCTTCTTAGATCCGTGATTGGGTCTTTTCACCCTTAGCAGAACCCTTTGGTTGTGCCTAAAGAGAAGCCTCCTTAAACCTCTCTTCAGATCCTTGTTTTTTTGAGATAGGGTCTTGCTATGTGGCCCAGGCTGGCCTCAAACTCCTGGGCTCAGGCCATCCTCCCTATTCAGCCTCCCAAGTAGCTGAGATTACAGGCGTATGACACTGCGCCTGGCTTCCCTCTTCAGATTCTTGAATCCACTCGCAGACTGACCCCTCGCTTTACCGTTCACGCACAGGGTTTGGGCCACAATGAAGAAAGGCAGCGATCACTGCACCAATCAGGGAGCCTTTTGGGGTAACAGGCTGGGGAGGACCTTAGTTCTAATTACTGCACTTAACGCCCTCCCCGCAAGCTGACCACAGAGCTCCCACACTGGTCTCCCAGCACTGGGAACAACACTGCTGGAAGGAGAAAGCAGCCCATGGCTCAGAACTCCGTCTCTATCAAAAACACACACATTCTAGTACCTCCCAGCTACTAGGGAGGCTGAGGTGGGAGGATCACTTGAGCCTGGGAGGTCAAGGCTGCAGTGAGCCATGATCCTGCCTCTGCATTCCAGTCTGGGCAACAGAGTGAGACAGTGTGTCAAAAAAAGAAGAAGAAGAATGAATTCTTGTTCCCACCAGACCTGCCAATCCTCAAGACTGCTAGATTTGCCATGGTGGCTGATGGGGAAAAGGGCCACCAACCTGAATGTCACCATGTAGCTGGGTTTGGTGGCTGCTATGGTCTGACGGGGTAAGGACCAGGTCAGGTGGGCTGCCTGCCCCTCTGCCAGCAGGCACCAGAGCAACCATGTCACAGCCCTCCATCAGTCACTCAGAGGACGGCATTCAAAACTACAGCTGGGTGCAGTGGCTCATGCCTATAATCTGAGCACTTTGGGAGGCTGAGGTGGGAAGACTGCTTGAGCACAGGAGTTTTTGAGTCCAGCCTGGACAAGAGCGAGACCCTGTCTCAAAAAATAAAAAACACTTGGTGGCTGGGAAAATTAAAGACAAAGGTTAAAAAACGAAATACTACTCTTCCACACCATGCTAGCACAACTCCCATTCAGACTGGAGCACGGCGAGAGCAAGCCTGTCTCCCTCTCACCACCCACCAGTCTTGGCAAACTGAAGGTTTTCTATCCAGTTCTATCTCTCGCCTGGCCTGGGAGCTCCTAGAGAGCAATGGCAACATTTGAGATTTATCACTATGCTTCTCTTGCATCCCACGAAACACAGATATTCAACAGAAAGTTCATCTCTGATCAAATGAACAGAATAAATCTGAGGGCAAACGCGTACCGATTAGACCAGTGCCTGACACCAGGTGGCCATTGACTAATTGGTTGCCAAATAACACAAGAATGGGCTTTGTGCAGCTATAGCCATTTTCCACTTCTAAGAAAATCCTACAGACAAAAGTCCAACCATTCAAAACGGGTAATACTGAAGGCTGTTACCGACAACATAATTTTGTGCTTTACCAAAAGCCTTGTAACATGATTCCTTTAAATGTCAGGGTCCCCTGAATAATCTAATTTACAAGAATTCCACCTACACGCAAATTCTAGGAAAAAGCCAGGGGAGGCACATACTGGCTGGGAAATAGCGAGCCTGACTTTGACATTTGTCCTAACAGCTGATTCATTAATAAATGGGATTCCTAGGGTCCTGGCTACATTCTGTTCAGATTGGAGTGGGGCAGGAGGAGGTCCCTAAGAGTCCGAGGGAACCGCAAGGTCGGTCGGCCAACAGCAGGAGGTCCTGCTACACTCTGCTCCAGAGGACAGATGCCATGTGGCTGCAGGGCCTGGGAGGAGGCCAGGAGCACCCCGGCTTTGTGTGAACTCTAGGCTAGCTCAGAGAGGAAGAGAAACCCCTCACGCCTGGTAAATGCCTGCTCAGCCAGTAAATGTGATCCTACATCCTTCACGGTCATCTAGCTGCTGCCTCCTCCTCTCCGCCAAGGTGTTCAGACCCACGCAGCTGCCCCAGTTACTGCGTCTCTTCTCCCACGACCCATGGAAGAAAACGGTGCTGAAACTGTCACCGGCAGACCTTTGCAGTCATCTCATCCTACTCATGTTAAGTCTCTACGGAAAAGCCTGCCTAAAAGTGACCTCCACCCTCTAGCAGCCTACTGGACAGAATCCATCCTCCCTGGATCTTTGTGGACAGCCGCAGGCCACATGCAAATGGCAGAGTGCTCTAAGAAAAGGAAAGAAGGGAGAAAGGGAGGGAAGAAGACAAAACAGGGGATACATTTAAAAACTAACAAAGACTCTGATGGAGTCGGATGAACCAGATCTGAATCTTGGCTCTGCTCACCAGCTGTGTAAGCTCAGATAAGACATCAAACCACACCATTCCTCAGTTCATCTATAAAATGGAGCAGTAATACCGACTTTACAGAAAGCCTGTGATTAAAAGTGCACACGAAAAGCTTAAAGTGCTTTGCACAGTGCCAGGCACATATTCTCTCTTGAGCTTAGAAATTCTCTGTCAAATGAGATTCCTGTCAACTCTGCCCACTATGAGGATCAAATGGGAAAACTGCCTTAGAATGCCATAGAAGCTGTACTGTTGGACACACCTAGGGGACTGTTACTGGTATGCTGGGCGGCCAATCCAGCAGACTCAAACAGCTCTGCGAATCAGCCAGAGTGAGGAGTGAGCTTCCTCTGTCTATAAGCACAGAAGCCCCACCGAGATTTTTTAGATGCTATCCTTGTGATCCCAGGGCTTCCGGCCTCCACCAAAACACTCCATGCGTTACTTCCAACCCCCACGCAGTCCTCAGTTTACAGAGAGAAAAACCAGCACACTAAAGGAAATGATGTGTCTTTAAACATACAAACAGGAAACCGAGAACAGAATTAAGGAGGGATTCCAGGCTCCTTATCCCAGCCCTGGTTCCTCCCAGAGGCTCATCCCATCTCACTGGGCAATCATTCTACACACCACAACCACCGGTTACACTGTCCCTCCCCGCTGTCAGGGCCTCTGACACCAGCTGTGGCAACCACTTAACAATACAGAGGAGAAACCGAAGTCCAGAGAGAGAGATCACACAGTTGGTGGGCAGCAAAGCCTGGGCTTTTCGATATGGCAGCCTCCCTGCAGACAGGCTGACCTTGGCCGCAAGGGCTCTGGGGGTGTCTTTTTTTGAGCTGCACCTGTGTCGGGCTGGCGCTGGGGCGGGACCCAAGGTTAAATACGACAGCAACTTCTGTGCAACGGGCACTTCACTGTGCCAGGCTCTGAACTGGGCATTTTACCGATTCCTCCCATCCATCCTCCGAGTGGGCGCTCTCCATATCCCTGTTTCTCGGAGGGGAAACAGGCTCAGAGAAAGGGATTTGCTGCGGTCTGGGGACCCGGGTGGGGGAGTGCCCTGCCTGGGCTTTGAGTGCCTTGACTTTCCTCCTGTACCTCAACCCATGGACTGACTGCTCCGTAGTCCCTGCCCAGGTCCGGCCCGTGGACCGCTTGGGAACGCGCACGTGGGGCCCGTGCCGGCCCGCGCGCACGCGCCGGGTCACGTGACGAGCCGGGGACCACAGGGCGCCGAAGCAGTTAGGGGTCGCGGCCTCCCCTCTCCCGGCGGCTGCCTACCCTTCGCACCGCCTCGCGCTACTCACTCCGCGCGGGGGCTCCCGGGACCGAGAGAAGAAGATGGGGAAGAGGAAGGGAGGGCGGCAGCGGCGGAGACCCCACAAGGTAACCGCAGCTCCGCCACACCACGACCAGACGCGACAGCTCGCGGCGCGCGCTGCCTTTGTCCGCTAACGTCACTTCCGGGCGTTTAGGGGCGGGGCCACGGCTGGCCCCACCCCCTCGTTCAGCTCGCCCCCCTCCCGCGGGCTCCGGATTTAGCCTGACTTCTTTTGAAAAATAATTTAACTTAATTTTTTTTTTTTTTTAATTGAGACAGAATCTTGCTCTGTCAACCAGGCTGGAGTGCAGTGGCGCTATCTCGGCTCACTGCAACCTCCGCCTCCCAGGTTCCAGCGATTCTCCTGCCTCTGCCTCCAGAGTAGCTGGGATTACAGGTGTGAGCTACCACACCCAGCTAGTTTTTGTATTTTTAGTAGAGACGGGTTTTCACCATGTTGGCCAGGCTGGTCGCGAACTCCTGACTTCAAGTCATCCTCCCGCCTCTGCCTTCCGAAGTATTGGGATTATAGGCCTAAGCCACTGCGCCCAGCCTAATTTGACTGACTACCTTCCTTCCTTCCTTCCTCCCTTCCTCCCTTCCTCCCTCCCTCCTTTCCTTCCTTCCTTTCCTTCCTTTCCTTCCCTTCCTTCCTTCCCTCCCTCCCTCCCTTCCTCCCTTCCTCCCTTCCTCCCTTCCTTCCTTCCTTCCTTCCTTTCGAAACGGAGGCTCGCTCTGTTGCCCAGGCTGGAGTGCAGTGGCCTATCTCAGCTCACTGCAAGCTCAGTCTCCCGGGTTCCCACCATTCTCCTCCCTCAGCCTCCCAAGTAGCTGGGACTACAGGCGCCCGCCACCACGCCCAGCTAATTTTTTTTGTATTTTTAAAGTAGAGATGGGGTTTCACCGTGTTGGTCAGGATGGTCTCGATCTTCTGACCTCGTCATCCGCCCGCCCCGGCCTCCCAGAATGTTGGGATTACAGGCGTGAGCCACCGCGCCCGGCCTAATTTGACTTCTTTTAAAAAAAAATTAGAGACGGGGTCTCACCCTGTTGCCGAGGCTGATCTTGAATCCTGGCCTCAAGCAAGTCTTCCACTTTGGCCTCCCAGACTGCTGGGATTACAAGCGTGAGCCACCGCGCCCAACACAGGTTACAGCTCAAAACTTGACTAAATTGACTTTTGGGAATCTGGAAGGACCTCCCGAACTGAAAAGAGCCGCGGCGTTGCCCTCTGTGCATCCCCATCACAAACAACAGTTCGTTTGGAGGCTGCAGGCTGGGCTTTGAGTAAGAAGGGAAAAAAAGCTATTGGTCCTCAAATCCACCCATCTCCATTAGCATCTTAAAATAATACAGACTCCCCAAAATAAATAAAATAAAAAGAAATACTCTTGGCAGTGCCATGGGATTCCCACCCAAATAAGCAGAACAAGCCCATGAAATTTCCATTCCAAAAGCATGGCCCTTCCCTCGGCTCCTCCCGTGCAAAGAAATTCTGGAGCTATCTCCGAGGCAGCAGTGATGGAAACACGAGCTTGCAGGTGGGTAGAGCCTGTTAACATCTCCGAGCTTCAGTCTCCTGCCAGAAGACGTTGAGCAATGTAATCATTACTCAACTTCTGATGCTCTGAGAGGATTAAACTTGTGGGACACTGCACGTCAGACCTTCAGCTCAGCACCTGCAGTGGGTTCTCAGGAAATGGAAGCTATTATAATGACAATATTCACCCTAAGGTCATTTTTCCTAAACTATTAATAACATCCTGGTCTTGGCAGGGTGCAGTGGTGCACAACTGTAACCCCAGCATTCTGGGATGCCAAGGCGGGGGGATCACCTGAGGTCAGGAGTTTGAAACCAGCCTGGCCAACATGGCAAAACCCCGTCTCTACTAAAAATACAAAATTAGCCAGACATGGTGGTGCATGCCTGCAGTCCCAGCTACTCGGGAGGCTGAGGCAGGAGAATCGCCTGAACCTGGGAGGTTGCAATGAGGTTGCAATGAGCCTAGATCACACCATTGCTTTCCAGCCTGGGTGACAACAGCAAAACTCCGTCTCAAAAATAAATAAATAAAATAATAATATTCTGGCGTTAGGTTTCCAATGCCTTCCTCTGAGCGGTGCACACAGAAGGTGCTTAAAGTGGGTTTGCTCTAAATGTACTGAAAGCTACGGGAGAAAGGGGATGCCAAAAAGCCACATCTGCATTGAGTCCGCAGAACGTGTGTATGTGCATATTATTTGGCATCCCCTCTAGACTATTCTAGGTCCCAACTGCTACCCCTGGTCTGAGCAAGCTTCATTTTCTGTGTCTCTATGCAAAGGAATTGATCCTGGGCAATTTCAGTTGCTGGGGGTGTCTGGAATCCTCCGCCAGGGGGCAGCTCTGGTCCAAACTCTGCATGCCTAAAAATCCAGCCCTATCTTATTTCCTGTCAACAGAAGAGCAAGCCCCTTCCCCACACCCAGACTCCAAGGCCTTCCCAGGGCTGGCCAGCTCCCTGACCTCAAAGCCTCTGGCATCTCTGAATTCCCAAGCCTAGCACATAGTAGTTGCTTGATAAATGATTGCAGAGTGCAAGGTCTGGAGGGCTCTTTAGAAACATCTAGTTAGGCCAGGCATGGTGGCTTACCTGTAATCCCAGGAGATCAAGACCATCCTGACTAACACAGTGAAACCCCATCTCTATTAAAAATACAAAAAAATTAGCTGGGCGTGGTGGCGGGCACTTGTAATCCCAGCTACTTGGGAGGCTGAGGCAGGAGAATGGCGTGAACCCGAGAGGCGGAGCTTGCAGTGAGCCAAGATCACGCCACTGCACTCCAGCCTGGACAACGGAGCGAGACTCCGTCTCAAAAAAAAAAAAAAAAAAAACCATCTAGTTAATCTGGTGTTTCTCAGCCATTAAAAAAAGTCACATACCCTTTAAATAAATACAAAAATATCTCCCTCCCCCACTCAATATTGTAGCTCTCCAAGAAAGTATGTCCCTCCATCCCTGGTGAGAAGCATTGACAGAAAATAGAATACATCTTTGGCGACGTGTCCTCTAGTGAGTCACTCTGTTATTTGAATTACAAAGTCGTTTCTTCATTTTCAAATTATGAAACTATGCCATGCCAGTGAAATACTCATGTAAATGACCTTTGTCTCCCACCCCAGCTTCACAATACTCTATGAGCTTCCTCTCGGCCCTCTCCCAGCCAAGACTCAGAGATAAGGCCCAGGGAGTCCTAAGAAAAAAGACGCTTCTCCAGTATCACACAGCAAAACAGCAGACCATGGACTTGAAAGTGGGTATGTTAATTTCTTTCTTTCTTCTTTTCTTCTCTTCTCTTCTCTTTTCTTTTCTTTTCCTTTCTGGAGATGGAGTCTCACTCTGTAGGCTGGAGTGCAGTGGCGCAATCTCAGCTCACTGCAACCTCCGCCTCCCGGGTTCAAGCAATTCTCCTGCCTCAGCCCCCCAAGTAGCTGGGATTACAGGCACACGCTGCCACATCTGGCTAATTTTTTTGTATTTTAGTAGACACAGGGTTTCACCATGTGGCCCAGGCTGGTTACGAACTCCTGAGCTCAGGCAATCCGCCTGCCTCGGTCTCCCAAAGTGCTAGGATTACAGGCATTAGCCACTGCAACCTGGCCTCTGTTTTTTTTTTTTTTTTGAGACATAGTCTCAAATGATCCGTGTAATGGATTAGAGTTGGAGATGTCAGCATGAGCTCATGTTTAGCTTAATATAAGCACAGATGGTTACCTATAGAAATATTTATAGATCTCTGTGTGTATAATAGTAAACACACACATTTCTTTGTCTGCCAGCTGAGACTGCCTGAAAGAAATGACATCTCAATAGCAAGAAGCACACCTAGCACCCAGGCCTTGAATCATTATTATTATTACTGTTTTTGAGATGGAGTCTCTGTCACCCAGGCTGGAGTGCAGTGGCATGATCTCAGCTCACTGCAATCTCCGCCTCCCAGGGTCAAGCGATTCTCCTGTCTCAGCCTCCCAAGTAGCTGGGATCATAGGTGCACACCACCACGCCCGGCAAATTTTTGTATTTTTAGTACAGACGAGGTTTCATCATGTTGGCCGGGCTGGTCTTGAACTCCTGACCTCAGGTGATCCGCCCGCCTCGGCCTCCCAAAGTGCTGGGATTACAGGCGTGAGCCACCGTGCCTGTAATTTCTAGGTCCATTGTATTCTGACTGCCTGCTCTTGGGGTGGAAGTTCTACTTCCAGAGCCACCCAGCCTGAGCCTCCCAGATCTGGAAGGCCTGGCTGCCCTGGTCAGAGTCCCAGTGCCCTGGGTGGTTATGGCCAGGGTATCCAGGACACAATAGCCTCACCCTCAGTCCCCAGGCCTTGGTGCCCACTGCTCTTCAGGTGCCCAGGGGTGAGGCGCGGATCACAATGACCCTGAAACAGCCCAGAGGCAGCAGGGAAGGGCTGGGAGAGGCACCAGGCAGGGATGATGGGCTCTCCCAAGGGCTAGCCTGCCTGTAGAGAGCTCTAAACTCACAGGACCTTCTCAGGCCCTGCCCAGAAGTCCACCAGGGTGAGTGTGACACTGCCCAGGAGCCAGCTCAGAGCTGACAACAATCTGGGAGTGGGGTATGGTGGGGAGGAAGCAGGCTCAGAGACCCCTCAGTGTCAGAGCTGGGAGTAGGACTGGGGCTCTGCCTCCCAAAGCGGAGTTTGTTAGAAGTCTGTGTCTTGGCCAGAAGTGGGGGCTCATGCCTGTGATCTCAGCACTTTGGGAGGCCAAGGCAGGTGGGATCACTTGAGCCCAGGAGTTCAAGACCAGCCTGCGCAACATAAATACAAAAAATTTCCACCCCATTTCTACAAAAAATACAAAAATTAGCCGACTGTGGTGGTGTGTGCCTGTAGTCCCAGCTACTCAGGAGGCTGAGGCAGGAGGATCGCTTGAGCCCAAGAATTTGAGGCTGCAGTGAGCTATGATGGTGCTACTGCACTCCAGCATGGGCGACAGCAGGACTCCATCTCTTAGCAAGACCCCATCTCTTTAACAACAACAAAAAAAAGTGTCTTGGTTCCAGCAGAGACTTACTGAATCAGAATGGGGGCTGGGGCTAAGTCATCTGTACTTTCAACAGGCTCCCCACCCAGGGGTCTCTGAGGCACCACCAGGGCTGGGAGGCTGCTGGTCAGGTCTTTCTTCCCTCAAGCTGGTTCCAGGTTTCCTAATTCCCAGTAGAGCGCTAAAGACGGTAACAGCTTCCACGATCTGAACACTGCAAGGCAGGCTAAGTGCTCTCTCTACCAGCGGTGATGCCATTTCACGGCTGCAAAGAGGCAGGTGCTGCTATTATCCCCATTCTGCAGACCAGAGCCCCCAGGGAAGGCAGAGGGAAAGTTAATTGGCTTGGCCAAGGTTACAAAGCTAGTAAGTGGTGGAGCTGGGACTAAATCTTAAATAGTAAGAGCTTTTAAATACTAAGAACGGCAGCTAGTCTATGTGTAAGCTTGGCCAGCGTGTCTGGCACTGTTCCGAGCTCGCTGTTCTAAGACTGGCATGTACGTGCTCATTTAAACGTCACAGCAACCCCAAAGCTGGCCACTCTTGCTGTCACCATTTTTCAGGTGAGGAAACAGAGGCTCTGGGAGCTCTCGCCTGAAGCCATTCGCTGTCCGCTGGGCCGGTGGCGCTCACCCTGCACCGCGCTGCCCTGCCCGGGGCACTATGGCCTGGGGCTGGACTATGCCCTCCCCACCTCACCCGGCGCCCCCCACCCACGCGCGCTGAGGGTGCGGTGAGCTGAGCGCGGGGCCAAGCATGTTCCGGCGTCGAGCTCGCCCAGGGGCCCAGGAGGTGGCGCCCAAGGGGCTCCCTGGCGACGGCGACTTCCGACGCAGCAGCGACCCGGGGCTGCCCAAGCTGACCCCGCCTGCGCTCCGAGCAGCCCTGGGCGCACGGGGCTCCGGGGGCTCGAGGATCCCGGGGGGCGGCGCCGCGTGGTGGCCAGAAGGGGATGCCGAGCCCGAGGTGGGCTTCGGACGCCTCCCGCCGCCGCGCCTGCCCGCCCTGCTCACTGCGAGCCGGCGGGCGGTGCGGAAGCGGGGGCTGCTGCGGTCCCTGCTGCTACCTCCCCTGCTCTCGGCCGGCGCGTCCCGGGAATCGGCGCCCAGGAAGCCCGGGCCTGGAGAGCGCGAGCGCCCCCGGAGGGGCGTGGCCAGGGAGGACCCTGACTTCTTGGGCGCCTTCCTAGGAGAGCTCCTCCCCAGCAGGTTCCGTGAGTTCCTGCACCAGCTCCAGCAGAAGTGCGCCGAGGAGCCCGAGCCACTGAGTGAGGCCCCGGGGGGCGGGCCCGAGTCATTCCTGGTGGGGGGTGGTCTCTTGTGTCCCCGCACCCAACACCCTCACCACACCGGCTCAGAAGGATGCTAATGTTAGCTGAGTATCTCAGAGCCCTCGTAACCCCTCCTTGAAGGCTGGCCTGTCATCACCCCGAGGCCATATGACTAGGAAGGACCGTCCCCCAGCCAAGGCTCACAACTGTTTCCTCCTGGCTCCAGCATCCCCAGCACCACAACATCAAAGTGATGTGTTAGAGCACTGCCCAGGGTCTCCGCAGTGTCCCAACTGTTCATTCCTCCCAGACCTGTGGTAAGCGTCAGTTCCGTTCTTGGTGGGGACGGGGTTGCCATCGATGTTTCCAGCGAGGGACAGCCTGGCCACTCATGCCTGATGTGGCCTGTTTGTCTTTAAGGGGCCAGTCATCGCACCTCCAGGATAGTCTTACGAAGATTTCGCTCCATCAGACACCTACTCTGGGGTCCCTGAAGGGTCATCACTCACAATTCACCACTGTCAAAAAGGCCAACCAGTGAGTGATGGGAGGGATAGGGTAGGGTAGTGGAGGAAAGGGGCATTTCTTTCCTCCTTTCTTTCCTCTTTTGCCCATGAATGTATTCATCCATCCTTACATATATCTGTCCATGAATCAGATCTTCTATCAACCCATTCAAGATTCATTCGCCAGTTCATGTATGAATCAACCCATCCATTAATGAGGTCTTCTACCAACACATAATTCATCCATGAATCCATTCATATATTCATTTTCCCATTCACCCATCCATCCTTGCATCCATCTTATCCATGAACCAGATCTTCTACCACCTGTTCATGAATCTCTCCATCTATCCATCTTTCTATCCACCCATTCATCTATCATGAACCCATGACTCCATCCATACATATTTTCACTCCCCACCCACGAATCAGGTGTCTTGTGGATCCATTCATCTACCTGGCCAACCAGCTAGCCAGTCATCCGTCTAAAACTCCCACAACTTCTTTTTTTTTTTTTTTTTTTTTTTGAGGTTGGAGTCTCGCTCGTCGCCCAAGGGCAAGGAGGCAGTCGGCCCCGATCTCGGCTCACTTGCGAAGCTCACGGCTCCGGGTTCCCGGCCATTCTCCTGCCTCAGCCCCCGAGTAGCGGACTACAGGCGCCGCTCACCACGCGCCGGCTTAATTTTTTTGTCTATTTCGGGTACGAGACGCGCGGTTTCAGTGTGTTAGCCGAGGGAGGTCCGGCTCCTGAGCGCGGTGATGCCGCGCCGTTCTCGGGCGGCGCCCCAAACGGAGTGCTTCGGGATATCACGTCTGATGCCCACCGACGCCCGGGCCAAACTCCCACACTTCTATCCCATCCATCCACTGATCAATCATCCATCCATGATCGTTCATCCTGATCAACCATCTACCAAATAATCTTCCATCCACTTGTAAACCCGGGACACTGTCCATCGCTAAACTAGTCATAAAACCATCCACAAACCTACATACCTCATCTACATAAAAGCCAGCCACCCATCTGTCCCATCTACCATACATTCAACTTCAGTTCTATTCAGGCCCTTTCATTAACTCACCGCACAGTCCATCCACCCATCAACCCACCCACCCAGTCTTCCATCTTTTTACCCATCCCACCATTCATTTGTCCATTTCTTACTCTAACTTTTATTAGGTTTTTATGTATGGAATATTGGGAGGAAAATAAGGGATGGAGGTAAGAGAAGAGCCTAGGGCATTGGAACCTACCTGGCCTAGATACCACAGTTTTAACAGAGGGGGAAAAGAAGACAGAACAGTTCTCCAGGTTAAAATTCCTCCAGACCTAAGCAGGAGTGAAGAGTGAATGGCACTACCCATGAGTTTAAGACCGAGGGAGAGTAAATATATCACATACATACCATCCTCCTCATCTGATACCCATGGCAGACAAACTAATGGATCACCATTTTCCCACTGAGGCTCAGAACACTTCCTTGCACAATACTCCAGGTAGACCACTACTGATGGATCAAGAGTAGGAACTAGAATAGTGGATGCACTATGGCCAAGCATACAGCTCATGCCTATAAATCCCAGTGCTTTGGGAGCTTGAGGCAGAGGGATCGCTTGAGCCCAGGTTTGAGATCAGCCTGAGTAACATGGTTGGAAACGCCTGTCTCTGACAAAACTTACAAACCTTTACGCTGGGGTGGTGGTGCATAACCTGTTAGTTTCAGCGACCGGAGGCTGAGTGGAAGAATTGCTTGAGCCTGGAGGTTGAGGCACAGTGGGCAAGATCGTGCCCTGCCTCCAGCTCGGGGGGACAGAGCGGAACCCGTTCAAAAAAAAAAAAGAGATGAGATAGGAGAATCAATT